ATAAGCTTAGTTAAAATTTAAAAAGAAAACTGATCGCATTTGATTTTGATGTGGGGTCAAAAAAAGAATAAACAGGGGACAAAAGAAAGACGAGCACACGCTTCGCAAGTCGTTGAAAAAGGATGTGGAAGTTTGGCGACGTGTAAGCCTCCCAACTTTCCTCTTTTCTTTTCGTCTCTTTTACTCCCAAGTGTTTTGCACTCCAACTCCACAACTCTATTGCACATCATCTCTAATAGGCAAATTATTTTATATAACCAAATACTTAATTTAATAGGCAAATCGTTATTTAGACTCATAGTTAATTTCTTTTAGGTTAAAATAAATATGTCACTAAACGACTTTTTTTGATGGGAGGGCTTTTTTCTCAACTAATTAGCATGTCTCTAAGCAAATATTCAACCCATCCTTTAGATCCACTAGTAATAGAACTATCTCAGACCTAAAAACTAATTTAAGAGCAGAAAATTACTACATTCATTTAGCTTTAGATGTGGGACTTAATACCTCTCCTTTCATCTTTAGGACTAAATTGAATGTGAAGTTTACAAAGCTAGAAGTCCACGGATGAATCACAATTAAAAGTTTTAAACATGAGTCTACTACTTTTCAAAATATGATTCAGTTTTCGCACACATATTATTTTATTCACATTCACTACGAGATGTTAGCTTTACATAATCTTTAAAAAGCTAAATAAGATCTTGGTTTTCTGTATTACACTCCTCTTTTATTATTTTCTTAAGCTTCACATCTGTTGTTTTTTGCACTCCACAACTATATTGCACATCATCTCAATATAGATACGTATTTAACAGGCAAACCATATTATTATATAACCAAATTTCAATTAGACTCACAGTTAAAAAAAAGTTCGAGTTTAATTATTCCATTTGATCTTTTTTTTTGGGTGGGAGAGTTTTTCTCCACTAATTAACTAGTCACCAAACAATGCTCAAACCATCCTTTGATCTCTGAGAAACTAAACAAGAGTTGGTTTTGTGTGTGTGTGTCTGTGTAATCACAAGAAAAATAGTTATGCATTGAACCTATAACTAAAAGAAAGAGGTTGCATGCCACACCAAAACAAAGACAAATTATAGTGAACAGATGTTGACATAAAACGAAAAATAGAGTAGGTGGTGGTACGCTGTCGTTTGGTTTACCCTAAAATAACAATACAAACAACACTATCCAACTCAGTCGTGAGGTCCCCCGTATCTGACGAACCTCATTGCATGTCTTTTTCCTTTTTTGGGGCAACGACCTCATTGCATGTCTTTTTACTCCTTTTCCTGGTTGTATCTTTCCTTTCTTGTTCGCCATGTTTTAAATTTCGCTTTGAAAAATAGTACAATTACATAATGGCGATATATGATCATATGTTACATGAATATGCGTGACGCTTATTTATGATCCAGCATAATACGACTTGAGTGAAAATCTTGCAAAATATGAATCATTGCACGTATATATATTGTTGACAAAAAGAAATGTATGCAGTTTTATTCATCAAAACTATGATTTTGTATGCAGTTTTATTCATCAAAACTCTGATTTTTTTTTCAGTAAAAAAAAAACTGATTTTCATTTAGATTTATACTGGTTTATCATATTCTTAACATTTAAAACACACAAAATCGTGTTCAAATTTGAATTCAGGAATGTTTGCCCTAGTCAATTTGGCTTATTGCACTTTTAGTCTATTTTTTTTAACTGGTCATTTTTCTTGTATATTCTAAAGACGAGGTTCTCTTCTGTATTCATAAACATATATAAATACTTTTAAATTAAATATATTATAATAACTGATTATTTTTTTAATTTGAATAATTTTATAATTTATAGATAATATTGTATTGTTGAATTAGATATGTGATTTTGTATATGTAATGTCTAGTCAGTTTAGTTATCACTTGTGTATATCAGATTGCATCTACTTCTTTGGATTCAAACATAATATTTTGTTTCTCTAAATATATTAATATTTTGATAATATTTTATTTTATATTTACGTTGGTTGTTCTAAATATAAAAATATGTTGTATTGAGATTTTTTATAAGATAATATATATATATATATATATATATATATATATATATATATATATATATTGAGAATCAAATAGAAAACTAACTAAGTGTGGACTCATTAAAAATAAATAAATAAAGGAATATAAAAATTAGTTAATATTTTATTTTTATTTTAATATGTTTTGAGATATCCATAATTTAAATGTATAAAATTAATAAAATATTAATATAAAATAATATATTTTAGAATTATTTCGTACATAACTATTCTTTTTCCATGATGATCAATAAATTTTAACATTTCATCAAAAAATATAATATGTTTGTAGTTTATTATTTGCTTAATATCATGATTGTTTTGTTAACTTTTATTTTTGTATGAAATCATATTATATATAAATATTATTAAAATTTTCGTTAAAAGATTGTAAATTTTATTTTTTATTTTATATGTTATTGGAAAAAAAGAAAAAAAAGAAAAATCTACTTAAGTGAAACTACTAAATAAACAGAAAATAAATAGTTGATAAAAAAGGAAAATAAATCTAATAATGGTATCTAAATGTAATATTTTAAATTAATAAATGATATTTCTGTAGTTTATCATCGTAAGAATAACGTGACCACACGTAGGAAATTGATTTTTTAAATATTATTATAAAGATATCCAAAAACAATAACATGCAATATGTCAATTTGAAATTAGTTAGTAACACAAATGCAAATCACTAAACTATATGTTTGGTGTGATAAATATCAGAATTCAGGCGACTTATTTTCAAAACACTTAATCAACGTCTGAATATGAGATGAATTTACATGACATATAACTCATTTTTTCAAAACAAAAAGTCATAATTATCTAAACTATTAAAGCTGAAGTACATTTTGTACTTAACCCTAAGTTTTCCTCAATATTTACCAAGATATGCCATTGAAATTAAAACTTAAGACCATGTACATTGAAGGATTATGGCCAAGGTTCACACAGTTTTCAAGAAGAAAATATATTAAAATAATGTTTTGCCCATGATCCTGTCTCTCTCCAGCTCTCCCCCGTGATCCCGTGAAGGGTGGAGTTCACCACTGTTTTGCAGGCCCCATACCACGTGGCGGCCCGCTATTGGTCAATGCAAATTTTTTTTTTTTTTTTTTTTTTTTTGCAAAATCAAGCGAAAAAAAAAATAATAATAAAAAATTCTAGTTATGAACCCCAATGGGGGGTTCATTAATGCACATGGTCTAACATTTTGCTTCTTTAACTAACCAAAAATCACGTCTGCCTAATAATTATTAACCCGTGCAATTAAATCGTACCCAAAATTACGTCCGCCTATTAATTATTAACCCATACAATTGCTAAACCATTCCTTAATCACATGCAACCACTTATCTACATATCATTATAACATTTACTAACACACATACGTTTTTGTCCGCCTATGAATTATTAACCCATACAATTGCTAAACCATTCCTTAACCACATGCAACCACTTATCTACATTTCATTATAACATTTACTAACACACATACATTTTTGTCTTCTTACTAAACCATCGATTACAAACATTACTAAAACCTGCATTTCAAAACACTGAACATATAATTGTTGGTTACCTGCATACCGTTTTATATCATTCATAAACTTTAGAATGCCATTTTTATAATAACTTAGTTCATCCCATCATATTATTGGCTTTGGTCCGCAAATATATGTCATACTAAAATCATAGTTTATATCAATATTTCTAGAAATCATGTAATTCGACTTTGATAATAACTTCTAAACAATTTTTCTCAATATCAATGGTTTAATTCAAAGTAAAAACCAAGCATTTATTATTTTCCAAAAAAGTTACCTTAACATATGTATTCCTATATTTAAGCTAATTATATATCAGTTAACCCCCCCCCCCCCCTCCACACACAATCCTTTTTGGCTTTATGATCTTGCAAATCACGTTCAAATTTTTTTTATCAACCTCAACATAATAACCTTCCATAATATATCTAATCTATTAAAAGGGATGTGCAAAAAATAAATAATCTTTGGTTTTCCTAAAAATTTACAATAGAATGTCATTGCAATTAAAACACTGTAATTTTACTCTTATATGAACTTTGATATAGGCTGAAAGGTCCACTAATTTTAAATCAAAAACAAATTGCTAATTAAATTTAAAAAATAGGATTTGTTAATAAAATAGTTAAAACTCTTATTTTTTGTGTGAATTTTTTAGTTGTTTCTGTCTAAATAATTTATTTTAAAAAAAATATCTATAAAATCTAATTTTAAATTATAATTTCAATTACAAAATTTATAGTATAATTTAATAAAACACACACAATCTAAATAAGATACTCTAATATTTTACACTTAATTGTTTAGTTTACCAAATAAAAAAAGTACAATATAAAAAAAAATACAACTTGATAGATACAAAAAGACACTAAACAAAATGAACAAGATATACCGACATCAAAACTCAGTAACCTATGAAACATAAACATGAATTTTTTTTACGACTAATACAAACATATATTTATACAAAACATATATCCGCGCGGACGCGCGGGTCAGAAGCTAGTTGACAGATTAAACCTCTAGCGGATTTTCAGTTTTGTCTTATTTCACGTGCCAAACAAAAATATTTATTCCCATTACACCAAAATTTGAGGACTCTTGTATAAAAATAATCATAGTAAAAAGACTATAAAATAAATAAAAAATATGCATTTCCCGAAGGGCTATAATGGCGAGACCATCCATGAAAGCAATGCAATGCATATACACATGTCTTCAAAAGGGAAGAAGTGAGAATACATAGAGAAAGTTACAACTTCAAGCAAACGCATTCCCATAGAAAACAAATCAGAAACAAAGCATCAAAGAGATAAAGTTTTGTCTCTCTGCTTTTTTAGTTCCTCCACGAAAATCAAAAACTCGTGCTGTGTTCCAACTGCTTCAGCTGTTATTGTTCCTTTTGTTTCTCAATATTTCTGTGTATGTGACAAATGATGAAGAGAGAGACGTTAAAAGAAGTTGGAATAGTCGGAGGGTTGGTCGGAGCTCAGGTGATTTACGCCGGAAACGCGGAGGTACTGAATCAGGTGTTGTCTCTGGGAGTCGACCCACTTCTTATTGCTATCTTCTGCACCTTTGCATCATTTCTTCTCATCAGTCCTCTTGCTTTTCTCCTTGAAAGGTAACTTTTATATCACTACTCTTTGATTCAGCTAAGCAAAGTTCCAAACTTATTTCTGTTTCTTTTGTAAAATTTTGGATCTTTTAAAATGGGTTTATTTTTTTGGTGGTGGGTATTTGAAGAAACCTGTGGCCCAGAAGTCTAAATTTCAAGTTGAAGACAAAACTGGTTTTGGTTGCTCTGGTTGGGTAACGTCCTTTTGATTTCTGCATGTTTCTGATTGCTATTTGCTTACTTATGATCGTACTTACATATGATTAATTAAGAGAGAACATCTGTCTTAAACAGAGTAACTCTCTTCCAGTGGTTATTCTTTGAAGGAATGAAACACACCTCTGCATCAATGGCCACAGCTATGCCTAATCTTGCTCCTGCTTTCATTTTCGTCATTGCTTGGGCTAGTGGGTAAACCCTTTATACTTTTCTGTTCATTTGTCCTGTTAAGTATATGCATATTAAAGCTTTAATTAATGGTTGTTGAATAATTGACTTTGTAAAGGATGGAGAAAGTGAAGCTAAGTTGTATGTACAGTAGAGTTAAGATGGGAGGGACGGTGTTGTGTGTGGTGGGAGCTTTAATTATGAGCTTAATGCACAGTACTAAAGCCACATCTAGTTCGTTTAACGCTCTGCCTATTGTCCCTGACGACGTCGCTTTGGACAAAGAGAAGATCCTAGGCTGCATCTGTCTTTTCCTTTCCATCTGCTGTTTGTCCTCAAGTCTTGTCCTCCAGGTTTGGCCTCATGCCTTCTTCTGAGCACAAGACTCATTGTCATTGTATATCATTAACGGTGATGCTAATCTATTTGATCATCCTAATTAGGCATCCATACTAGTCGAGTTTCCGGCGCCTGTCTCTATGTTTTCAGTAGTAACTTTGATTGGTGGGTTCACCACGATAGCTTTGCAGTATGTTGTTAAGGGGAGTATGGATATGGGAAGTGCATCAGTAATCGGTCTCAAGAACCTTGTGGGATACGCAGTGCTGGTACATATACTCCTCAAGAATCATATTATGGTGTGCAATATTTGAACGTGTTACAAAATGTTAATAAAATTTGTTTTGTAGGGAGGGTTGGTGAGTGGAGGAGGTTTAAGTTTTAATGCATGGGTGATTAAGAGAAAAGGACCAGTGGTTGTATCTCTCTTTAGTCCTATTGCAACTGTGGTGTGTGTTGTTGTCTCTGCTTTCTCCATGAATGACAGTTTTAACCTCGGAAGGTATTTTTTTGCAGCTTTTCTCCTTTCAATGGATGGCATTTTTTGGACATATATTATTTATCTTCTTTCTTGTAATTGTGAAATTAGCTTTGGGGGAATGGCTTTGATGTTTGGAGGACTCTACTTCGTTCTCTGGGCTAAAGGGAAAGAGGAGTGTGGAGAAGGAGATGAAGTAAAAGAAGATGCAGAAGAAAGTGTGCTTAGAACAGAGTTTGACCTTGCGAAGCCTCTCTTGCGTTAAAGTCTTGTTTTCTATGTTAAAAAAAAAAAAAAAGTCTTGTTTTCTTAGTGTTCGTGTGAATTTGGTTTTTGTTTACATAATTTAACAGAATAGAATTATGTATTTTATCTCTGGACATACAACAGAACTATCATATAATTAGTTGTCAAGTAATATGGGTTGAATAGCCAAAGTTTGTATACCATCTTTCTTAACTTTAATATACTGATTTATCTTCTCCCCTCCTCTCTTGATTAAAATATATTTGTTGTCTATTTTTTACAGGTTATATTTCAGGTTTTCCAATGTATTTTCCACACGGGGCATACACATCATGCTACGCATCCAATCGCTTGGTTACTTCTACGTTAGGTAATGCACATGCACCTCTTAGACAGTAGTCAACGAGAAGATTGTCACGAACGAACTCTACTTGGATAATTGGTTCAGTGTCCAGAAGGACCAGAACTGAGTCCTAGATACCAAATGAACGAAATTCATTCCCAACACACATATTTCGAAGACAATGCACTTTATTATGATTCATGATTATAAGGGGGTAGCGATAGTTTTGTTATAAAATATACCAGTTTGAATAGTTGTCACAATTTTATTTGGGTCTAAAATTTATCATAAACTCACTGTTTTATTTGAAAATATTTAAATAAAATGACTTTTATAAAAGCGCTATATTTGTTTTTGATTAAAGGAGAGTTACATAATCTTCTATTTATATAAACTAAGGTTCTCCCTCACATGAGGCTGCCATGTCATCAAATAAAAGAATGAGTGAGTGACACGTGTGCTTATTTTTATTAGTTTCGTCTGGGTTTTGTTCACGTGCTAAATGGACTTTGCTTATAAAGTATTGGGCTATTCTTTTGTTTTCAATTTTGTGTAAATCCAGCCCGTAGAAAGAATATTCTTCTACGCGAAAGTTGTTTGATGCGAATCGAAACTTAAATTAGGGTTCATCTTACTTAATCGATCTATGGCATTCTGCAGCAACAATGGAATTTCTTGATGTCGAGTTAGATGAATGGTCATGTAGAATCTGTGGCTTTCATCGCGTCGTTTCATCTACGGTTCTAAAAAATCCGAACTGTTACGATGATATGACATTGAATGAGAGTTATCCCTCTTTTCAAAGGCGTCGTATCTACACTTATAAAAAGGTTAGCCTTCATCCCTTGAACATAATCATCTTCGTCCGTATAAACATCATCAACTTCATAGATCTCTGAAGCTGTTGGCAGACTCGCTTTTTACAGGGCATGAGGTTAATGCGAGGCCAGAGCGGCGTTGTGTACTCGCGGCGGCCATGATGCAGCGGATGATTCGGTTAAGGCAGATGCTTCTTCCTAGGCTAGATGGAGGTGATGAAGGATGCATGGAAACAAGTCCCAGATTTACCAGAGGAGGCTTCTCCACCAAGATACAGGTGTGACATGTTCTTAGTTGATGTAAAGGTTGGCCTCCTCATCTTCCCTCGCAGTTCTTTTTAGTTTTGGATTACTTAGAGAAACTATGACGTTTACAACTTCATAAAGTTAATAAGCTTAGATCGAGTTGTTTCTAAATTTCTTGGTTAAACCTTAAGTATCTGGAAAATCACCAACCCATGTTTCGTTTTCCCCTTTTTTGCATCTATTTAGTGACAAGTAAGAAAGGCTTCAAAATACACTTTTCAATGTAATGACTAAGTAGTTTATATAAATAGATATCTCTTGATTGATACAACTTCTTCACCTTACGTCCGAACTCAAATTTCCCCCCCCTGAACAATTTAGTTAGAATATGATGCAACTTTCTTTTAATTATGGAATATTCATGGGTTATGAAAAGTAAGTTTGATGTACAACATACTTCATATATGCTCCTCAGCTTCTGCTCAATCCACACAGCTTCATTTGATACTTGCAGATTATTTGACGTTAAGGCATGTTTCCCAATAGAGTGTTTTTAGAAGCAGCTGAGAGACGAAGCTATGAAAATCTAGCGTGAGGAAACTGCATCTGTTGCAGTCTGGGAAAGACACAAAATGTGAGCTCCGGAAACATCTTAAGAGAAGTTTTTTCCAAAGATGAAGATAAGGTTGATCAGTTGATGTTGGCTCACTGGTAACTAGAGACTAAGTAACCTGAATCTCAGTGCAGCATCCATTCTTTGTTTTTATTTATTCTTGCGATATGTTATTGTTGGAACGTTTCAGTCCTTATCTTACAAATGACCATGTCCCACCTGTAGAAAATCAGTTGTTGAAACAATGATTTTTTTAAAACTAAAATTTTTTAAACTCTTTCACTACTTTCTACTTTCTAATGTTATTTTGAAAACCAGGGCCGTAAAAGCAGCATCTCATGCTGGACCGTTTGATTTTATTTTACCATGGAGAAGTGATTGTGTTCATTAACTTTGCTTAGAAATTTGATGTTAAGTTAGCCGTGTAAAACACAAGCACAGATTTAAATGACGAGTTTGGCTGTTTAATTTAATTTAAATGAAATAGATTTGAACTTCTGTTGGTATTGTGAGAGAGTTAAAGGAGAAGAAAACTTATTAAACCAAGCTGTGTTATCTCTTTTAGTTTTCTGCAGATATATATCTTCATTGTGTTCATGGTCACCCACAATCAAGAAAATGAGAAATAACGTTTTTACAGAAAGAGCACTATCCTCTTTCAATCTTTCTTACAGAGTTGCAATCTTAGCGGCAAAACACTACCCGTTAATAAATCAGGTAATGGTGACCAACCCTGTATAATACCTATGTCACCTCCGTCATATATTTTTCTCATGAGTTATTATGTTGTCTTTAACCTGAGGTTTATTACAAGTGTTTGTTGATCTCTCTCCGTGTTATGAGCTTCCTGCTGGTTTTGATTATCACATCTCAGGTGGATCCAACAAGTTGAAGCTGAATCATGGGTTTGTAATAGCTGGTTTTCATGAAAATTTTGTTTGAATGGGAGAATGTTTGGACTATCATCCTAAACAGAAGAAGCGATCAAAAGCAAAATTCGATAGAGAGATTCCTTTGTAGAAAGCAAGCTGTAACCTTGCAATCCCACTTTTGAATATGATCAATTGGTCAGCTACATGGCTTGGGATATATATTAAGAAATGTTGAAGTTTATACATATATCACCAGACATTCCTCCTCAGTCCATATATTCATATTTCGCTTATACATAGATCATCCAAATAATAAGACAACAGCCAAGAGAAATGCTAAATCACTAGCGAAGAGAGCAATGGCAACCAGATTCGTCTTTGCCATAGACGATGCTTTGATTCCAGGTATCTCAGCCTTCTTTTACAGAACAATAAAAAAAAATGAAAAACTCTTCATGTTATTGAAAAAATAACAACTTATAACTTCATCCTACTCAAACAAATGGTTAGAAGCAAAGTATCTTTCTCAGCAAACAATTCAACACTATCATACAAATCATATAAATCAGAGGCCACGACAATAGTCCAACTACAAAGCTCAGGTTATTTCCACTAATGCATTCCCATAACCCAAAATCACATTTCATTATATATATATATATATATAAACACACAATTAAATAAAAGGTTTAGCCACCTATAAAAGCTCAAAGACAATTTAAAACACATGATCTTCATTCCCCACCGTCCATCCAATGATTTAAACTTGGTACATATAAACCAACTAACAATCATATGTGACCAAATTTTAGCAAAACAAAAACAAACATATATGATCAATTGTATTTCAAATGACCACATGCTCCTGTTACGTTCTCTTAGTGATCAAGTTTGTGTAAAAGCATTTCTGCGTAAACAAAATTGATTACCATCAGTTTAGATTCCATTCACCTCATGTTACCTCCTGGTACTTTATGTAAATATCTACTATTACATAAATAATTTTATAATTAATAATATATTTTAATTCAAACAAAATTCTAACACAAAGCTACCATAAAACTAGATATAGTGAAAACTATAACATAATCAATTACAATATATAGACTTATATAAAATAAAAATATAAGAATCTATTTACAAGTCTGTATATTTTCTTCTAACAAAATGAGAACTAAAAAGAATCTCCCTGATTGTTTTTTGGTCATCCAACCCAACAAAATCGCAAGAATTGATGTAAAACCACATCTAATTATTAATTTATAATTAAAAAAAATTGCTATACAAAAGATTTTTTTTTACCTTTTAACAAAATAATCATATTTAAAATAATAATAAGTAGTATTTGGTTTTTATATTAAAATCATAGCCAGTTGTTCAGATAACATGGTTTATTTAGAAAATCATATTCTAAAAATAATAATTAGTATTTATTTAAAAAGTATAACCAAATATTCAGATAATATAGTTTATTTAGTCTTCAAATACAATAACATACATATACAAAATTTAATTAATGTGTATATTTTTATACAATAACAACCAATATTAAATATTTATTATGATAACTTGAATTATTTACCCGTCCGTAGGACGGGTTTACCCTAGTAGTGTGTAAACTGTTTTTCTTAGATCATGCTTTACTGTTTAGAGAAAAAAGTGACGGGTTATTCCCGTGAGTTCCTCTAAATATATTGGTACGCATTTTTCTTGTTATGGTTCATTTGGATAATTATAATTTATTATTATTATTATTATTAAAGCACACATAGTTTTTTTTCTAATTTTAAACTTAAAGCACACATAGTTTTCTCGTCTGAAGTGTGATGGATCAGCTGAAAATTCAGATCGAAGCAAAGCTAAGTAGTTCATAATAAAGATTCCATTGTGTAAGCCTCTTCTTTACTCAACTATTAAAGTTCTAATAACTGAGATTCAAATCTTTTCTTTTTCTATTATTGGTAATGTGTGATATATATATTCTTTGATCAGCTTTTTGTAACAAACCCATGATTACAGTTTTATGCATTCTTGTCTACGGCTAAATCTGTGCGTATGTATAGTGTATGATGATGAGTAAGCAATATTCATTTTTTTAAGTACAGATGTTTTTGATCTCTTAATGTTGTTTATTATATATATATATTTTTTTTTTGACAACGAAAGGCTGATCTATTACTCAACCTTGAGGTGGTCTGGGAATCCAGACCGCAATAGAACAACCAACATACATGAGATCCCGATAAAAGGAACGGGCAGTCTTAGCTAGATGATCAGACGTTGCATTTAAGGCTCGAGGTACATAAGAAATCTTACAATCAAGGAAACAAATCCGTAGTGTCGAGATCCTCTCTAGTTCCGTCGAAAAGCTTGGCCATCCATGTGGATCTTTGAGCATCGCCAACAAATCCTTGCAATCCGTCCCAAAGCTCTGACATGGCGAATGTTGAAGCATGTTCTCCATTACCCACCGCAGCGCCTCCAGCTCCGAATGCAAAGCCGACTCCACTCTGCTCACGTTACGCATCCCCATCAGATGACTATTTCCCATGCTGTTCAGCCAGACCCAACCACAACCGGAAAAATAGTCCATAGAGGTCCAAGAACCATCTATCATGCAAATATCTCGAAGTCTTATGACATGTTGCTCGGTATCTTCTTCCTCTTGTGTAATCACAACATTCTGCTCATTCGCTTGGAACCAAGCAATACACTCACTCTCTGCATACCGGGCCAATTCCAAAGGATCCCTATCTATTCCTCTGAACAACTTATCATTACGAGCCTTCCAAATGTACCATATCAACCAAGGAAAAGGATTTTTTTCTAGTTCTGGTCCACAAATATTCTTCTTCCGCCAGAACAGATAATCCATATTCGAATAAATGCTCTCCAAGGGGAATAAAGCTACACTGGAAGGGACAGATGATAAGGCCCACACTTGTAAAGCCGGTGGGCATTGGAAAATTGCATGTGCAATTGTTTCATCCGGTTCTCCGCATCTTGGGCAGACATTATCGCATCTTATGTGTCTACGATTCAGCGTACTCGTAACAGCCACCTGTCCCGATATAATCTGCCACATAAGGTGACACATCTTCGGGGGAGCTTTAGCCTTCCAAACTTGTGCTTGGAGCCTTTTAAGACTAGGTTCATCTACTAGGTTCTCATCCTCTTTCATAAGTATATTGCGAGCTACCCAGTATCCGGACTTGACTGTATACTGTCCACTCCTAGTGTAACTCCAGCAGTGTGTATCTCTACGATAGGTAGAACTGATAGCTATACTCCTTATGAGAGGTATATCACCAGCGTCGACATATCTTACCAGCCGTTCCAAATCCCAGGATTTTGATTCCTGATCGATAAGATCGCTCACTCGCATATTCGGATGCATAACCGGGGCAGCTGCATGTGCTGGTCTCGCTGGGATAGTTGGGATCCATGGATCCTCCCACACCTTCACTTCATACCCTGAATGAATCTTTTGTCTAACACCCAAAAGCAATAATTCCCGTGCAGCCGAAATACTTGTCCACACATATGATGGACT